CTGCCCGCCCACCCGTCTGTCTGTCTGTCTATCTATCTATCTATCTGTCTGTCTGTCTGTCTATCCATACATATATTCTCTATTATAAATCAATGCTGTCATCTCAAAGTTTCGGATGAACTGCGTTTTTTTTAATGAATTAAGATACAAATAATGATAAATAAATATGGGTCCCACTTCATCTGTTGTCCCACCTGTATTCACCCATCACCCTACTATTACACCAGGATGCTTGTATTTATTTATTCTGCACTGCTAAATGAGATATTTAGCCTAGATGTGGCTAAATTAATATTTGGAGGTGATGTGGATGTTAATATTTTCTTTTTATAATGTTTTTTTTCTTTGCTTATTTTATTATACATTTCTTAGTGATTGGCAACAGCTTCTCAGTGGCACTGCAGTATTGGTGCACTGTAAATCTGCCACATCAAGAAGTGGCCACAAGGTGGCATAGTCATGAAAAACCCTGTCCATCAGAGAGCTGTCACAATTGTCAATAGTGTACATGATGTCAGTAAGACAATCAGTCCACATACACTGAAAACAATCTGTGACAGTAGAAACTAAATGTGTAAAAGATGATGCAGGTATTGTATGGAGGGTGTGATGAGTTGAGCCTAAACAGAAAGCACAGCAGAAGCTGGACACACCCTTGAGCACCAGACAAAGCAAAGCGGTTGATAATTTCAAATCCTCTGGGATGTGATATTTTCAACAAAAGGGAGTTCATTCAGAAAACAGAGGAATGTCATTGTATAGTTTTATTCATAATAGCTTTTTGTACCTGACCTGGATAAAGCTAAAGGGCAGACAAGCATATAATCATGAACCTGTCATAAAAACAAAGTAAAGTTTGAAATGACCATAAACTTTACATTCACTGAATTCTCACAGGTTAACCAAACCTATGGAAAAACTATTTCTGGATTATTAGTTAATTTTCCACTATGACTGAAATTCTCATTATTTATGTTTATTAAGAAATGAATTAAAAATAAGAATTTATTAAGTTATGCTAATTTTGGCATACCAAAAGTGGCATACTGTGACTATTTTGAAGAAACTCTTCGAGAATCGTTATGGCTCTGTCTTACAAGAGGAATCCCCCCCAACCCCCCTTTGTTGTTGTTGTATGTATATATTTGATTTGACCTACAGTATATGTGTGTGTGTGTGTGGTTGTACATACACATGTCGTTTTTTTTTTTTTTTTGGCGTTTGGCTTAGTGTTATGTTAGAATCATTATTTTTGATTTCTTTTTTTCAACAGAATTCTTTTAGCTTTATTTTTTGTTTTTAATTTAAATGTTAAGTTTTGAAATTTTGTTGTATGCATTTGTCATTTTTATTTAATCTCTTTATTTTTAAAATGTGTATATAGTATTTATAAAGTTTTAGCTTTTAGTTTTGGATCTGTTTTTAGTTGTTTTAATACTACAATTGATTGCTTCTGTTGTCCTCATTTGTAAGTCGCTTTGGATAAAAGCGTCTGATAAATGACTAAATAAATAAAAAAATAAAAACTCTGATATAGTAGGTATAGTCAACTGTCCTCACTATTTTTTATGTGTTTCCCAATATGCTTTAACAGTGGTTATATAATGTTTGGCGGGTGTAGTCACTTTGTCGCCAGGTAGGGTGTTAAAAAAAGGTGTTGGTAGCTTAATAAGGGATTTTAGAGATAGAATTTCTTTTTATGAATATTAATGCTAACGCTACTACTTACATATAGTTAAACACTTATTTCAACAAAAAGTTACGCACTGTTCCCTTGTGAGGACTGCAACCACAGGACATTCAACTGAAGAAACCAAGCACCTTATATACATACACATTTATAAATTCAATATATATATTATTTCATTTCCATTTAGTTTGTTGAAGTATTGAAATAACTCAAATTAAATGAAACTAAAAACTTAATAAAAGACGTATACAGACATAATAAATTCAGACATAATTTAACTAAAATTAAAATAAATAACAAATACAAATAATACAAATCAAATGACAGTAGTTTCAGTCATCCTAAAAAATAACACTGCCAAACATGCTAAAAAACAACAACTCACTTACACATAGTCACTCTTCGGTCTTCACACGAGGAGGCCTTCACGCGACCGCTGCCGCGCTAAACTAAGCTTTTTTATACCCTTCTAACAAAATACTACATGAATTCAGCTGGACACACTTCCCTTATTTTCTCCACAACAAATGGCCAAGCAAGCGCAGACACTGACAAGATACGCGATACAGAACGAGCCCAAACGCGATATCAGCACGTCTCCACACAGTAAACAAAACAAGCATTTCCTAGCAACGACAGCTGCACTACACACTAATGAGACAAGTAAATACACTTATGAACTGCTTTTAACTTCCGCTGATAAAGACTGCTTCTCTCAAAGAGTATTTATTTACACTGTTTTCTGCTGGCGCTTGAACACACTTTCCTTATTTTTTTCCAAAACAAATGGCCAAGCAAGCGCAGACACTGACAAGATACGTGATACAGAACGAGACCAAGCGCGATATCAGCACGTCTCCACACAGTAAACAAAACAAGCGTTTCCTAGCAACGACAGCTGCACTAAACACTAATGAGACAAGTAAATACACTTACGAGCTGCTTTTAACTTCCACTGATAAATACTGCTTCTCTCAAAGACTATTTCTTTACACTGTTTTCTGCTGGCGCTTGAACACACTTTCCTTATTTTCTCCACAACAAATGGCCAAGCAAGCGCAGACACTGACAAGATACGTGATACAGAACGAGACCAAACGCGATATCATATACGCAATATAATAATTAAAATAAATGATGGACTTTGTCAAAGATGAGAGCTTTAGTGAGGAAATGTTGTTTTGGAGAGTTTTTTTTTTTTTAACCATTGCTGCCCGGATCTTTTCAATTTCCAACCGCTTTTCCAGATGTTGAAACTCCTCCTCAGTTTCTCCAATTCTTCTGAGTGTGTTCAAAGACCAAGAAGGAATGTCCTTTATCGTTTGTTTGCCCGCTGCTCTCCGACAGGTAAACTTAGTGCTCTCTCGTGTAAAAACAAAATTGTTGGGTAGTAACTGATTACGTGTATTGATCTGATTATGTAATCAAATTCCAAAAATTAAGTACTTGTAATTAGATTAAATTACATTTTAAAATACTCATAATCAGGCTGCAGTTACTTTTTTATTGATTGCATGATTGCATTTTATTCACACAGCAATATATTATTCATAATTTATTGATTCTCCCTAATTCTTTTCCATCTTTTATGTTTTACTTTCTAAAATAGCCTTTTATACATTCAGAAACTCTTTTTTACATTTACACAAAGACCAGTCACTAGTCAGGTGGCTATAATTACACAGAACATTGAGAGGCCACAGCATTTTACCACTGGATTTACAAAAATCATTTCAGTTTTAAGAAGTGTTTTCTCAACATTGCATCAACTACTGATGAACACTCAGTTATCTCTCAGTAGGTTACGTATTTAACCATGTATTACTATGTGTTTGGAAAGCTTTTGTCTTTCAAACACATTAAAATGCACAAATTCAAGTCATTTCGTATTTACAAGTAATGCAGGGATTCCCAAACTTTTCTTTTTTGTCAGCCGAACATCTTTCACCTAATATATTTAATTCAAGTACCCCAGAGATTTTAAAATAAATATTTTAATTATTAAGTATCACACATTTGCATGTTCACTGTTCTCTGACTGGTTAATGGTCACATGACATGCAGGTAAACAAATACATTCTTTCATTTTTTAGTAAGTGTTTTATTTTAATTGTTATTTTTCAATCATTAATTTAAATTTGACATTTTTAGGATGTAATTAATTATTAGCTTTTTATTAAACTTGCAAACCCCTTGCAGTTCCCTCATGAACCCCAGTTTGGGAAACCTTGACGTAATGATATGTTTAATGCACTTCATGTTGTTAATAACAATGAATATATTTTCTTTCCCTTTGTATATTTATATCAATATGGTACACGATTATTCTATTTAAATCAATGTGATAAAGTCAAAAGTAGGCCAAAAGTAATCTAAAAGTAACCAAAAAGCCGTCTTGATTACATTACCTAAAATGTGTAATGGATTACGTTACTAACTACAATTTCTGTTATGTAATTTATCTCTTATGTTTCTTTTGAATCAAAATCTCTGCTTATATCAAATCTACCTTATACCCCTATTAAATTTGTTAAAGGGACAGTTCATCCAAAAATTAAAATGTTGTCATTATTTACTCTTCCCTTCATTCTAAACTTGTATGACTTTTATTTTTTCTGTGGGAACACAGGGGGGATGTTTGTAATTAAACAGTTTTGGTTTGACGTCCATTGTAGACGAAAAAAAACATCTCTCACACATTTCTCAAAATTATTTCTTTTAAATTCCACAGAAAAAAAAAAAAAAAAAAAGTCCTACAGCTCTGGATGAGGTCATACAGGTTTGGGTGAAAAAAATAATGACCGAATTTTCATTTTTGGGTGAGCTATGCCTTTAAGCAAATAATTATGTAAATAAATTTCTATTAAAATAAAACAAAATTATGATGATTTATTTTATTATGAATAAGAATTCTACTTTGACAATCATTAAAACCGAAATAAATATGTACAAATTCTACATGTTGTTTGAGGAGATCAAATATATAACCTTATTTGTATTACTGAACTGTTGAATGATTTGCTTGACCCGATTGAATAGGATGAATTGAAATCTTAAGCCCTCAATGAGGATGGAGTCCTGACATACTTTTATTTCCATGCAGTTTCAGGTGTGGTTCTAGGACCTATCTGTTCAATCAACAATACTGATGACAAAATTGTTTTGTAAACTTAGTTACTCTGAATAGATATCAGTGGAGAGATCGCTGGAGAGTCTCGTGTTGCTCTGTCTTTTGTCATGTTTTCTCTCACACCCATCTCGTCTGTATAAATACTGAATCTGGAAGAATCTGCAAGAAAGGAAGGAAAAGTTACTCATCAAGAGTTTGCAGATCCAAAAGGTAATGTTTCTTTTATTCTCTAAAATGATTGAGATGGCATAACATATATTTGCTGAACACTGATATGATCACCTTTTTTATTTAATGATTAAAAACAAACCAATTGTTGTCTTAAAGTATACTCATATTAGATGAAAAAGTGTATTCAAGTAAAATATTAAAAAGTACATTAGATGAAAAAGAGTTTGTTTTGTTGCTTTGTATTTTCTAATGGTTTGTCTTCTTTAGTTTGCCTCAGGATGATCAGAATAGTCCAGCTCTTGTGTCTTGCTGGCCTTTTTCTACAGTGTGAAGGTCAGGGTCTCCAAACATGCCTCAGTCACCCCACGTACAGACCAGCAGGTTAGTGCTAATTCACTGCAAAGATCATTTTCTTAATCAGATTTGTCTTATTTTCCAGTAAAATCGATCTAAACATTGTGAAAAATGATACATTTACTTGAGAAGCAAAACCGCAGAAGATATAAAGGTGTTTCAGACAATATATTTTATTCTTTGTAACTTTTAGTTATGTTGAATTTTCTTACAACACTGGCAAAAAGAAAAAAAAAGAAGAAGACGAAGAAATAAGTTCTAAAAAAGTCAACCAGTGAAGTAAGAAAAAGAAAGTTAGATTGGGATAAATTCTCATTTTGGAAAAATGAATGATCTTTCCTTAAACGTTTTTAAATGACAAAATTAAAATGGTCTTAGACAGTTTTGCTTCTCAAATACATGTGGGTCAAAGACGTTAAGATGTCCGCATCAAAAGAAATTGACCAAAGTGATTTTATGTCCATAGAAAGCACATGAAATGTAAGTAAAGTGTCTACTTTTAAGGTTTCAAATACGCTTTTGGAGAATAAAATGTCAACATTTGGTTGAAATAATGTTACATTCTCATTCAGTGTAACACAATATTTATGTAAAAATTCAAACAACATGCTTATTCTGACGTGTACAAATTAAAATAAATAAAAGAATAAGGGAGCATATAACATTTTATTGTGTTTTAAATGAGTAAAAAATTATTTCTGACAAATGGGCAAAACCTAGGATAGTGGCAAATTTTAAAAATGTAAAATTACAACTAATTAGTATTTGAGGTGAAAGTAATTAGTCTTTTAATATGTCATAAATTGATTTTTGTTGAAAATATGCCTGACAATATTGTTACACTGAATGACATTTTAGTGGGTCTCTTCTGTAAATCAGGGAAAAATGTATGATATTTATTTTTTTGCAATTTTGTTTTTGTTTTTTTCTGAGCAAAAAAATAAATATCATACATTTTTCCCTGATTTACAGAAGAGACCCACTAAAATGTCATTCAGTGTAACAATATTGTAAATATTGGCATGTATAAAAAAAATTTGGGAACAACAACAACAATTTAAAGCAGTATACACTTATTGTTTTTTATGCTTAAACCCTTTTTCGTCTTTGACCCATGTATGTTTTTTAAAGGATATTTTGACATTTTTACTAGAAAACAAAAGACAAAAAAAAGATTCAAATGTTTTTGCAGAAAACACATACAAATTTATGCATTCATATGAGTCAAATTAATGCAGGAGCACCTTGAGTAACAGAATATTTATATATCTTTCAGAAAACGCTGATATAACAGTGGTGTGTGGAACCAATCATATGTTTTTAAAAGTTTTCATTTGTCCAATGTATTTTGGGGGATACAACGAATCACTAATGGCACTCAATGCTAAGTTTAACATCCCAACCTGCTATGGAGTAGCGGACTGGACTGTCAATCCTCCTGTCTTGCTGTTTAACTTCTCAATCTCTCAGGAGGCGCTCACCCTCTGTGGCAACAATATGAACGTAAGAGCTTTTCACTTTAAAGCAATCAACTTTGAAACTTTTAATCCTACAGATTTCCATAATGTGTTTGTGTGGCATTTTTGTTGGTTAGATTACAAGTCAAGTGGGATCAGGAGTTTTCTCGGACTTCTCCCAAATCCAGTCCGTAAATGTCTCCGGATTAATCAATTCCTGGGATCCCAGCACCAGCACTATCACTTACAGGCAACAACTGATGTACCAGTTTTCGTGTCTGTATCCACTGCAGTATTTAGTCAACAACACTGAGCTCAGCGTGTGAGTATAAATCCCAAGAATCTGTTTCTCGCTTGAGGTTTCTGTGCCGTAACTTTTGTGGCAAAGTGTCTCTTTGTCCCAACAGGTCAGGAGTGAGTCTAGCAGTAAAGGACAACAATGGCACATTCATCAGTACTCTAAGCATGGGTCTTTACAGTGTAAGGATCTTTTTATTAAATGACACTTGCTCAATAAATCAGTGAATACAACTTTCATGACACCCTCTTTATTTGGAATGTTTTTTTAGACTGCCGACTATACTACCAAACTCCAGATACCAGGATCTGGGCTGCAGTTAAAGACTCGCATATATGTGCAGGTCAAGGCAACAAATCTTACAAACAAGTAAGAATTCTCTCCAGTGTTACTTTAGTATTATTTATATGTGACCCTGGACCACAAAACCACAAACCACATATAATGTGTTCATAAGGGTCAATTTTTCAGAAATTGAGATTTGTACATCATCTGAAAGCTGAATAAATAAGCTTTCCATTGATGTGTGGTTTGTTAGGATCGGACAATATTTGGCCGAGATACAACGATTTGAAAATCTGGAATCTGAGGGTGCAAAAAAATCTAAATATTGAGAAAATCGCCTTTAAAGTTGTCCAAATGAATTCTTTGCAATGCATATTACTAATCAAAATTTACAGTAGGAAATTTACAAAATATCTTCATGGAACATGATCTTTACTCAATATCCTAATGATTTTTGGCATAAAAGAAAAATCAATAATTTTGACCCATACAATGTATTTTTGGCTATTGCTACAAACATACCCCAGCGACTTATGACTGGTTTTGTGGTCCAGGGTCACATACAGTATTTTACTATTACAATTTTAATTTAGCTTTTATTTTCAGTTTTCAATAGAATTTTAGTTTAAGTATATGTGCTTGTGTCAGGTTTTGTTTTTATAGTGTTTCTAATAAGCTCGATTTATTTTTATTTCAGTTTTAGTCATTTTAATACTTCAACTTATTTCTGCCAGAATTGTTATTCAGTTAGCTGCCAAAGCAACATTTCTAGTTTTTTAAAAGTTTTTCATCCAATATGTATATTTGATTTTATTTCAGATTTATTTCGAGCAATGTTTATTTCAATAGTCTTGGTTTTAGTTAACAATAGCAACACAGCAACTCTTGAATGTATCCAAATTTAAATGAACACTGCTGATTATACATTTACAGATCAATCAAATCTAATCGTCTATCTTTTTGTGTGTTGCTAGGTTCAATGTGTTGCTGGACCGTTGCTATGCCACAACAAGCCCATATCCAACCAGCAGCACCTCTTACGATCTTTTTGTTGGGTGAGTCCTTCATAAAAAGCGGACTAAAAGAGAGTACTTGAGAAGACACTTTAATTCTCTTGTGAGAATCGCATCTTTTGTTGTTTATAGGTGTATTCGTGATGCCCAGACAAAGATTGATTGGAATGGGATGTCTCAGGTAGCTCACTTCTCCTTTGAGGCCTTCCGCTTTGTGGAACACAAAAACCTGTCCATCTCCACTTTCTACCTGCATTGTGCTACCCGACTCTGTGAGAACTCCACTTGCGCCTCCTTGCTTCCGGTAACTAATCGTGCTTATCAGAATTGAATTTATTGATTTGTTTACTTCATTTTAGATTTGTTTTAGTTTGGCTCAACTCATGTGCTTATGGTTGTGTGTGGATTTCATCAGCCCTTTTTTGTGTCTGTTTTTGTAGAGATGCACTAGGAAAAGAGAAGTACGATCTGCAGAGGCAGACAACACTTCACCTAATGTCACTGTCTCCTCAGGACCAATCAGTACCAGAGTTGACAGCGGTACAAAGAATAACAATAATAGTTATATAAAAATAACTAAAGTTACTGATTTGTACTGATTTAAAATTCTCTTCCGTTTCTTCCTCAGGTGCCCCTGTGACCAGTAGACGTAAGAATTCACTCATTTTAATGATCTCATTAAGAACCTTATCTAAATAGTTCTATTAATGTTTTGTTATTGTGATGCGATTTAATATTGATTTATTTTATCTAGTTACCTCATCAGCATCCATCCCTCAGCTGACGTATGTTGGTGTAGCCACTGGCTTGCTGAGCTTCTTTCTATTTGACTGGATGTCTACATCAGGACTTGCACAGTGATCTACATCAGGATTCGGGAATTCCTTATCACTTGACTGAACACAACGTTTCTTAGAAGATATCTCACCTGTTACATAAATGTGAGAAAGTTTATTATGTGTCAGTTATTAGCACCTCTATTTTCCAATTTAATGAGGTAAATAGACTATTGTCTTGTAATTTTTACTTTCTTTTGTTCTGTGTTCTATGATTTTCTATGAGAACAAGAAAAAAGAAACATATTCACTATGTAGTTTACATATTTTTGCTCTTTCGAAAAGTCTATAATGCATGTAAAACTGCTTTGGGGGAAAATGTATGCACTATGAATGTAAAAATTTAACGTTTAAACGTTTAAATATTAGAACCTGTCTTTGTCCTCCAGGTTTTTCACTCAACCAGGTCATCACTGTTAGGATTTCATTCATTTGCAGCTTAATGATTAGTTAAAATATTTGTTCACATAACATCAAACACAGGTGCACAAAAGTCCTCAAAAGTGTGCAGTATTTTAGTATTTAACACTATCACAATATAAGCATGCATTTAACTGACAGTGTACTATATCAGTTTCCCTTCACACTCGTTCTGTAGCCTATTTCACTTTGCTACGGTTCCACTCCGGGTTTTCACTATCACGGTACCAGCTCACTGGCAAAAGAAATCCAGTACCGGATTTATTGTAATGTATTTTCATTGTGTTCATTAAACAACACAATGAAAGTATGTATAAAATATATTTTAAATTAAAAATACTAAATCAATAACCTACACAGAGAAAATATAATGTTCACGAAACGCGTCACCATTTAAGTCTACGGAAGCACAAAAAGTTATGCATTATTTTTCTGTCCCTCCAGACAAAATGCTGTACATTTCTTTGTGAAATTGAAATATATCAAATAACAACTCTAAATTACATTTTTAAAACAAATCCCAAATCAAATGAATAAGTAATACACTGTAAAAAAAATTCCGTAAAATTGCTGTGGTCCGGCAAAGACTGTGGTCGCCGGAATTTTACCGTAAAAAATGCGGTAGCAACATTTTAGGTTTTACGGTTTTAACTTAAACTTACAGTTAAATACCGTAATTTCATTAACTGATATAATGTTAATATACCAACCTATTGAAGTACTGAAATCTGTTTTGTACCTTTGTAATACACTGATAACCACCAAATGCAAGTGGTGATGAGAAAGTCACATGATGAACCAAAGCCCATCACAAGCAGCTTTTAAATAATAACATATATAGAAGGTGCACAGTGTCATTCACACAAACGCTAAACACCATCATGTTAACCATTTAACAGGTTTTTACTGTAGCATTTTTTACAGTCTTTTACCGTTAAATTCACGGTCATTTTTTACAGTGTACAAATAAAAGAAATCTCTTCATATAAACAAAATAAGGCTTTGCCCGTGCTCTTTCTGCATTTTAACCATGATATGAACAAAGATGCAGAATTTAACGTCTCAACCGACTTGAATCGTCGGCTATTTTTGTCGATTTTCAACTGGCTCGAGTCGTGGTACATCGTTACATAATATTGCTTATATATTGCTACCTCCAGACCAAAAAAATAAATAAATAACAAGAAGAGACAGAAAATCTGTACCAAATATTGTACCAAACCAACCCCACTCACTCACACTTCTTTGTTATGATCTCAGACAGTCGATGTTTATCAAAGGCATCCAAATATTACATCAAACTTCTTTATGAGCTAACATTTATATATTTCAAATGTCTGTTTCCAAATTACTTTTTGTTTAAAATGTGAATAATTAACAAATTTTGACTTTATATGTCTTGATGAGAGAATGTGGGTCAAGAGGGCAAACATTTAATCATTAAACATTTTTGTGCATCCATTTATGCAATCTGTGAATCTCAGTACAAAATCTTTCTCTCCCAAAGGAGCACATGCTCTTTGTTTTTTTTCTGAAAGAGTGTGGGGAACTTGAAGCTGTTCATCTAGTCCTTTGAGACAGGAGAGAGTATGTGCTGCTTGCACAGTGTACGCATGTTCAGACAGCACTGCTCCTCTCTTCAGTCTCACTCTCACCAGAGCTCTTGTTCTGTGAGTGTGACCCGGTCTCACCTCCTCCTTTCACCAGATTTCAACAGTGGTGCATTGTATTTATATGCATTGTCAGAATTGCATTGTCATGTAATACAAAGTCCAATACAGCACTGCCTCAATGAGTGTAATTGTTTCAAAATGTCTTAATTTAGCTGTTCATTTAAATGGATGAAGATTATGTTGTGTTTTTCAAAGGAAGATGTTTCTGAACTGTAGAAGCAGGAGGTAAACAGCACTCTTTCCACTAAGTGGTGCTAGTGAAAACGGTCTTTGACATGGAAAAGTACTTACCGCCACATCAGGGTCTGAGCAGGTGTACGCACTTTTCTTGTGGCAAAGTCGGAGTACTGCAGCTATTTGAACATCTAAGCTGCAATAATAATTAAAGCGGTGTACGTGCAAGCACCGAATTCATCATAAACAACAAAGATGCAGTGTAAGAGATTAATTGTGCAGTGTAGTTAGATTTTTTATTAACGGGAGTTTTTGCGAGATTAAACTGACCTTTTTAGTAGCCTAATGTTAAGAGTTCTTTACTCGCTTTCTGTAGTTTATTCCAAGTTGTTTTGTTTTTTGTTTTGTTTTTTACAAGAGAACTTGCGAAGTCTTTATTTACTACTAATGCGTAAAATAGAAACAAAAACGCAGAAACGCATCTCCGACTGTTTTGTCTGTGCAGCCTATAAGAATAGGCCTATGTCGCGCAATAACGGTTTTAATAGCCTATATTCTATTCAGTTACATTGTTAACTGTTTTTATTTATAACATCTTCTGCTTTGCTTCGCACTTACGCACTTTTGAGAAATGATCTTAGAACAAATTTAGGATGGTTTTTACGCAACATTTTATAAATGAGGCCCCAGGAGTTTCATATAGTTCCTGACAAAGGTGCTCATCTCAATGGGTCAGGGTAGCCACTATAAAATAGCCATTTATTCTGACTAAATACTTTTTTTCTCTCTGTTATGACTGTTGATTCAGTGTTGTTAATCACAGTAATTTATGACTTCGGTGATTGGCTTTTAAACAGAATTGTTTAGCCAACAAGGTAGCAGATTTTAAAATTGCATTCATCTGGGGAGTCCTGTGCTGCTTTCTCGGGTATAGCCAGATGTTAATTTGTGTATTCTGTGCATGCAAAACTGATCTAGTGTGGTAAAATTTGGGTAAAGGGGTCAAATTTGTCACCGTACAAATACCTTTGATATAGCTAGATTAAAAAAAACTTTCAGCATGGTGAACCAGCTTTCGGTTTATTTATTTGCTTTTGGTATTTAGTTATTTTATTAGGTGTGTCCTGCATCATTTTGCTTGTAGTACAGTATGCCTTTGAGCTTTGATGTTAGTACAGGCATATTTGACAAACAAAGCAGTCACTCTCTCACTCAAAACAGTTTGTTTTGTTATAATACACACATTCTGCGTCTTCCTCCTTTCCTGGTTTAATCATTTTTTGCTTTTGCCAAGGCTTTGGGTTTTAGCTTTTTACCCTCAAATAGTATCCTTAAACTTATTCAGCATTGATTTAATAACCTTCTACAAAACTTTATTTTGAAGTCTTGAACATATACCACAGTATATAAGGTCTTTATACTCAAACAAATATGTGATTTGGGATGTTTATTAGCTACATAAATCTGCAACCTTTTAAAAAATAGATTACATTAGAAAAAAAATCACCTCAACATCCACCTTTAGACACTGCTTATGACTTACTTTTATGGAAAGCATTTTGAAATCGGTAAATGATCTTCCATTTTGCATGGGAATGTTCAATCTGCTCTCTGTTCAGTCCTACTGGACATGCAGAGGAGTGAAGGTAATAAATAAATCCAGAGAATATCTATATACTATCTGGTAATGAAACTCATGTTAACATGGGGGCCAAAATGTCCTAACGTGACAAAAACCTAATCTATTATACTCTAAATCATAACAAATGCAAGATATTTTATGAGGACATATATTATTTGAAAGATGTGCTTTGATAAATGTCCCTGTAATCTCATTTCCATGTGTTTTTGGCTGCTGTTACCATCCTCAGTGGTAACATGCCCTCCACCCATTCATTGGGAGATTCCATCACTCTCCTCCATAAAGCCACTTCCTCTGCTATAGAGTCCATCCAGTCCACCTGTACTCCGTAGCTCTTGCCTGTACACAAGATTGACTTTTAAATGCATATAATTATTTGTGTTAAAATGTATTTTATATGTGTTTATGTTTATAGATCTCAGAACACATAAACATCCAAAACTGGACTGCACCTGTGCCCATGCCGAGTCTCAGGCCTCCGAGAAGGTGATTGGCTAGTCGGTCACAGTCCCAAACAGTAAGCTCCACACAAGCCTCTTTCAGGTCCTCTGCCCTGAAGCCATCATACACCATAGTGTGGTTAAATATAGGGTTGGCTGTTCTCTTCAGCACCCGAGTCTTCTGACGGCTCTTTTTGCTGGTGTCGGGGAGTACAAAGCTGTGCAAACAATTAAACAGACAAGTATTTAATTCAGATGTTTTCAAGAAAAATAACTATAATGCCATGCAATCGTAATATATATAAAATGTTTTTATTATTATTATTACCATTTTACATATGGGTCAATAGTTGGACTTCTGATAAGAGGGAGATTCTTGCAGTCTTTGACCCAGATATGCACTTCACATTTGACAAATCTTTGACATTTGACTTTTTCTGTGACATAATGTGCTGTCTTTCAGTATATCAGTTCAGCTGTGCACTGAAAAGAATTTTGTGTAGGAAACATTTTTCACTCAGAAATTGCCAGTAAAACAATTACATAGAAATAACAAGTAAATTATTGAATTAAAGGTGAAATGAAGAAGAAAAACTTTTTTTCTTGAAAAACATACTCCGATAATATTTATTTACAACTTTGAAAAATAATTTTTTCAGTGTGTGAATGTGAATTATTGTGAATAGTAAATGATTGTATAGGGTGGAGCCTTACAGTGGGAAATATGTGGCAGGAAACGTATGGCCAGTCTCATCTGTCCTCTAAAGTCAGATGGCTGGAGGCTGTTTGTGGTCTGAGAGAAGAGATTCTGGAATCAGAACAAAACAGCTTAAAGGCATAATTCAACCAAAAATACTAATTCTGGCAATATTTAATGCTAGGGTAGGCAATTTTTTCCAGACACATTTCTTGTTATACTAGTTGAAAGTCTCTTTATTATATATAGATTTATGTACTTAGACCACTTTAATTATTGATTGCTATCAGGGTGTGAAAAAATTTTCAACGGTCCGAATTCGGGGAGTGTAATGTGCGAAAAGGGTGTCTGCAAAGGTTGTTTGAAAACATGCTTTACTTTTGTAGTTTCACTAGATGGCACTAGTAGCACAGAAACGGCATACTCCAGTATACTCCTAACATTTGCACAGATTTTTGTCCCAATTTGCAGTCCGGAGAAGTCAGTGCTAGATGCTGAAAGTCAGAACCCGTCTGCAGATTTTTGTTCAGTTAGTACTGTCAGATTTCACAAAATAAAAACACGTAGTGTATGATGGGCACAGGTTCTTTTTATTTCTTTCTTTTTTTTAGCTTCAGGATGATCTATCCATCTAGTCGGCAGATATCAAACATGTTTGATATTTTGATTCTAGGACACATGGGACATATAGGTCATATGCAACAAGGTGGATGTTTCTGTGTTCGGAACAGTTTGAAAGTCTGCACTAGTAAACCAAAAAATGAATCCTATTGGTTAGCATAAAATAAAGTCCAGGTAACATTAGAGTAAGAGATCATGTATTTGTGTATTAAGTATTTTAACTTTGAAAATGCCGTATATCACAAGTGCCACGTAAGAGAAATTATCAACAAATTCATACTATACCCTTGGTTTAAGAGGTAAAAGCTTCCACTCTGTGTCATTAAAATCCCAAGAGGAGAGGTCAAGCTCTATCTCACCCAGGAAGCTGTTACGACCAAATGTGTCATTGTGCCATGCTGAAAGGTTGAGAACCTGGGACATCAGGTACTCCATTCGAACTCTGTACTGTAGGCATCAAATAATAAATGAACATATTTAGATTATTAGGCATTTGGTTTAATGCATATAGGGGAGACTGGGGCCTGCATTTCGGCCATTATAGCCTGGAAGTAAATTACTTTCCACTAAATTGAACACACCCAATAGTGGGGCATGTTGTCTCAATGGAATCTGACATTAAACAGCCTATTATAGACATTTCAGCTCGGTATGAACAGTAAAAAAATAATTATGAAACATTACGCAATTCATGCAACAAAGTGAAGTGTGATGTGCAAATATATCAGACCATTTATTTGGTAAGCATACTAAGCAAATATTGTAATTACTAAATGCATAACATTTAAATGCATGAAAAATGTGACAAATAGCCCTAACTTATTTTATCAGTGATGCTCTTACCCTAAGAATCTCATTGTATGTGGGATTCAGTGTTTTCTTCTTCACAGCAGTTTTTCGTTTTCCCAAATTGGCAGGATCAGGTATGAGGTAACTTTTAACATACCTAGAAAAATAATAAGTTATCCATGGGGGGGAAAAATCTATTTAGAGGAGAAAGGGTGGGTGGTACTGAGATCGCAGTCTTACGGGTCAGATCGATTCCTCTTCGTGTCCACTGCTGCCAGATTCTGGCACTGAACAACAAAGATGTGGAACTCCCGCAATTTGTGCACATAGTTTAGTGAAAACTGGATGCCTCCTTGAATGTCAACACTGCTGTAGTCACTATTGTACACGCTCACAACACTGCCGCTAACCTGAGGATGATGGAAATGCAGTACTGAATAATTCCCAGTACACCAATGTGCTTAACGTCAAATTAAATTGTACCCTATTTACATTCAAACTAATTTTTGGGTCTTATTGTGAACAATTCATCGGCGTACGTAAGCAAAATATGTTCTGTTTCTATAAGAGTATGGAGTATATACTATATTATATGCATGAACTTGGTAAATAGTTTGGTATATAATATATAGAATATGAACATACAGATGACAGGGAGGTGGATCCAGAGTAGTTGCTGAGGTCAGTGAATTGTCTGTTATTCCACTGTGGTACACCGCTGCTCTCGGAGTCACTCTCTCCTCCATCACTCTTAAAAGACAGGACAGTAGCAGACACTTTGAGCACCACACATTTTTTGTTACTTGGCTTTTTATCTTAGACAAAAAAAGACAAATGAACCAACTTCTTTTTGCAGGAATGAGGGCACTGATTTGCTGAGTTGCTTCAGGTGCACTGGGTCTGATGTGGCAAAGGAAGTCTGGACAAGTGTGCTTGAGTCTTAAACAAGACATCAGGAGTGAGTGAGATTCCAATCTCATAGAAAGAAAGAAATGCCAATGTCATAGAAAGCAAATAAATGTGTAAATATATGTCAACAAAATTTGTGCATATAAAACCTATCAAGAAGATAAGCTCAAAACTTGCCATCATAGTTGCCCTGCATGTAGTCATTTGTTTGTTTTTGGTCTTGTCCTTAGGGAAGAGATCACAATGACAAAACACGGGAAAAAATAGAATAGATACTGTTGTCACCTATACTCTCCATTTAGAGCCAAACAATAAGGTGTACTCTGGAAGAAGCATTGTGCTGCTACTGCGTGACAAGTAAACTCTGAAAGGAAGAGCTAAATATGGATATGGTACTTTTAGCTGAAAAATGAATGATAAACAATATATAAATTATAGTCTGACACATTTTTAAAAGTGTTTGACATGACAGAGAGGATTGATGCTTACTAGGAAGAGTGCTGATGTCTTCCATGCTTTTATGGTACACAGGTCTAGATGAAGCTCGTTTCAAAGCTTTCTGAATGGGACTCTCATTTTCACCTGTAAGATTTAACAGTGTAAGTTTGATCCCATAGAGGTATAAAGAGTTAATTCAAGAAGCGAGAAAAATGTTGCTGGTCTTTTGTTCCCTTTTCTTGTGCTATTGTGTAATGTGAGCACTTACTGTTTGACACTTGAAAGGGAAGCTGTGAGAAATTCTAATACAACGCTGATTTGATTAAATATACCTAATTGGTCAATAGATTACGATTGGGGTCATTTAGTCCTTTTAAGTCGTGTTAATAATTCTCTCTTGACTGCAGACACATTTCATGCTTATACTTATGGTTAGGAACTTTTTCTAAATCACTAAACCGAAGTATTAAACTCTGGCATGTAGTTTGGCCCTCAAATTGTGTGATCTGATGAGGAGAGGTGTGTTATTACTTTTCTAAGTAATCAGATTTACGATTCACACCTGGCAGTTGATAAAACTGTTTAAGCTACAGTGTACCTGTAAAATGCTTGAAAAATATCCTATAGATTTATATGTATGCATTTGACAGATAATTTTATCTAACATTGGATTCCAAGTATACATAAAAGGGGTCCTTGGTTAAAAAAAAGTTTGTGAAACCTGTAGAGTATAGTAAAAGAAAAAGCTTTGAACTCACAGTTTAAATTCCCCTTAGTGGCATTTCCATCAGTTTGTGTGGCTGAGTGGCGTCCAAGGCTCCCTCTCCTAGCTAATAGGTCGGGGGAGCCCTGTACTGGAGTACTGGTTTTAACAGGGGAACACTTACAGCTGCGGTGTGTCTCTGGAGATGACGTAAATGAAGTGCAGATAAAATCATCAACCTGCTCTGTAACTGGAGGTGGAGTGTACATACTTCTGTCCTCTGTGATCCCAAGGTAATGCTGGTAGTCCCGTGGAATGAAGGATCTAGCAAGAGGTTGAGAGTCAGAATCCTCTGAGGTACGTGACGGTCTTCTCTGAGTGTTTTTGTCTCTGTCTCTCCAAGAGATTTCTGGGGATGTTTTTGGCAGGGTATAGCTAGCTTCCTGTGTTTTCCTGGACTGTGTGATGATGGCTTCTGGTGCCTTTTTAACCTGTTGCAGATTGGGGCCCTGGGACTTCCTGGACTGAAGATTTAAGTCCTGGCTTTGCTCCTCAACCACAGTGTTCACAGAAAACATGCTGGCGGCACATCGCATGGCATTTGCTTTTCCATTTAGACTGCCTTTGCTGTTTCTTCTACTGTGTTTCGGTTGTGACTCTTGACCAACCTGAGGTTTAGGTACCATTGTGGCTTCTGAAGAGGTCTGAGAGCCTTTCTGTTGCTGAAGAGAATGAGACACTCCATAGGATATTGCTTCGCCTGAGACCACATGTGACTGATCGGTTTTTGATCCAGATTCTTGTCTTGACATAATCCTCTTCTTTGAGGGAGACTGGAATACTCTAGTTTTGGCCTGTGAGGATGGTTTGTTATTCTGGCTTTCATTTACAAAGTCTTTGACATTGGCTCTCTCATTTTGACTTTGTGGACTTAATGATCTCTGATTTCCACTTTCAAGAACCGGTGACCTTTGCCCAGATTTTGTAGGTGATCCTCCCCAGAAGTCACGCAGGTTCTTAAATTGTAAAGTGCTCATACCATCTGTCACAACTGGTTTATCCTTCCATAGTGGATGCACAGAGAAATTGGGAGACAGTCTACCTCTGGCCGAAGTACTGTCCTCAACATCATCATGATAATCATCATACTCAGTACCTATTGTTCTGAGATCAAACTCAGATTTAGTAAATCTTTGGTTCAGTCGAGCAGTAGTAGTCAATCTGTTTTGAGTTGCTGCTGATGTTCTAGAATCTTTCTCCCAAAATAACTTGAGTTGCTTGATCCTCTCTGCCATGTTCTCTTGCTGGGAATTCTGCTTAACAAAAGGCACTTGATTTGTCCTTGGTGCGGTTTTTGATTTTGCCTCTAATTCCTTTGGAGTGGTGTGATCTGCATCACTACTGTTGATGCCAATTGTGCCTCCCTTGCTATCACCATTTTGACCCGCTAGCAAGGATCCACTGTCAAGGGATGGCGAAGATGATTTTAAATGTGGAAGAGTAACATCTTTCTCTAAGGGAGAGCTTGCACGAATTTGGTCAGTCATCAATGGTGGTTTCGAGCCATCTGTAAAAATGGGTACTTGAGGTGTATAAGTGGTGTTAGCATTTCCAACATGATCGAGGTCTAAATCTTCCCCAACTCTCTCTCTTTTCTGATGTCCTGGAGATGTTACTTTCAAGCTTTGTTCACTTCTCTGTTGGTCCTCTACACCTTCAGTTGGCTTTCTGCTATTATCACTAGGGATGAAGTGTTCATTTTTAGCAGGTGCACTAGATTTGCCAATCAAAATCTTTGGACCAATGTTTTCTTTCTGCCAGAATGATCTCAAATTTGCAATCTTTGGTCGCTGGTTTTCTTCAGCACCTGTTCTTTCTTTTGGCTGATATTGAGTCTGCTTGATGTCACTGATTTCCAGTTTGACTTTGGTCTCTTCCTGTCTCTTGATAAAAGCCTCTGTTCTGTTCTCATTTTGACTAACTGTCCCACCTACAGAAATATTCACCTCTGGGATCTCTGGACCCACATTGTTTGCAGTAAGAGCGGAGTCAATAGAAGGCTTCTTGATGAGAGGTTCTTTATAAGAAGTAGATTCAGATCTTCTCCGTTCTTTTGGAGAATTCTGGGGAGGCTCATCAACACTCTGTTCCTTTCCCCAATCTGTCTGTTGTAGAAATAATGTATTGACTTCTGATGGAACCTCTTCACTTTGGCATGGTATGATGAAGTACACATTATCTCTTGGTTTGGCTCTCTGATCAATGTCATCTTCAAAGTCTATGTCATCGATCTTGGTGTCGTCCTCCATGTCCTGGACATTGCTTTCTATATCAAGCCTATCACTGCTGTCTGAGCTTCTGCTAAACCACTCAAGAACTTTGGCAATGGAATCTCCTTGTTCATCAGTAGGTGTGGGAATATGTTCATCTGTCATGACTTCCAGTTTGGCATCTTCTTGTTTTGAGTTATATGTCTCTTGTTTTACATTGAAGACAAGGGGGCTGCTGTCAGTCTTACAGTCAGTAGAGGCATCTGTCTTGTTGAATGTATCTGTTATGTTGAGGGATCTGGGAAATTGTTGATCTGTAAGACAAACAGTGTAGCACTGAATGGCCAGAGCATAATCTAGACAACACTATTGTAAGCAATAATTTAATTAAACTAAATTTAAATTTAAGATTATTTCACCCAAATATGAAAATCATGTCATAATTTACTTACCTTGATGTCATTCCAAACCCATATGACTTTCTTTCTTCTGCAGAACACAGCAGTGGATGCACAAAGGAGAAAATGTAATGAATGTCCAATTGTATGAATTTTCAATATAGGTGGCAGTACCATGTCATTTGGTTTGTTGAAGCAGAAGAAGGGTGAACATTTCCATCACCTACTGGACTGGAGTGTGAAGAGCTGGATGAATGTATAGTTGCTTGAATATCAGGTTGTTTTTCACCAAAACTGATCGGAGTACTTGGGAAATGATCGGCAAGCTAAATGTGTGTTTTGCTGACACACTTGGGTGCTTTAAGCACTAAAGTGAGACCCAGTGTACTGCCATTATTTTTCAGTTCACCCAAAATTTAACCAGATGCTTGTTAAATGATCTCCTTTGTGTTCAGCATAAGTCAGTCAGTCGTACAGGTTTGAAATGACATGAGGATTGGGTAAATAACATAATTCTCATTTTTGGGTGAATTTTACCTTTAACAAATCTTGAACATTTCTAAAAAATGTGGATCATACCAACAGCAGTTTTCTCCATATTTTCTTCAGTTCTTTTCATTTCCAATTTTAGATACGGACTCATATGATTTTCCACGTTCCCAGATTTGTGCAGTGTAGGTTGAGGGGCAGTGATCTCATCCAGTGGCTTTTCAGAGTTGTCTGTCAACGTGAACATTGCATTCTCACGAGGAAGGTCAATTTCACCTGAAATGTTTTGGCCCTCTAATTCCATACTTGATGTCTGAGGAAGGCAACTATTTGTTTCTCTTCTTTGTTTTAGAAGTTCTTCCACTTTTTTGCCATCATCTGCTCTTGTGATAGAGTTCAGACTTAGATGTGGTTTTATCTTTGGCTTTTCTTGTAAGCCTTGTGGAGGGTTTATCAGTTGTGATGAAGCTCTAACTGGTAAACGTGACTTTTGCAACTTCAGTGGTGAAGAAGAGCTAAATTGCTCTATGTTTTCAGTTTTGCTACTTGATTCTTCTGTACTACTCAGAGAAAGTTTAGATTCTTCTAGATCCTTTTCTTGACTTATGTTTTTGCGAACATAACTTAGGGATACTACTGGTTGTCGCAGTTGACTCTTGAGAGTGGGCTCATTGAAGCTTTGTTTGAGGATACTTCTTGGTGGTGGAGACCTGATACCTGAGCCTGCTGTGGTGGACACACTCTGGATGGACACAGAGCTGGTGCTGTCTGAGACAGAGCTCTGTGGTTTGTTAATTTTGGTCCTTTTCTTTGGCACAGGCCTTTGAGCAGGAGGTTGGTTGTGTGGGGTGTTAAAAACCTCACTATTAACTTCACCATGACTTGCTTCCTGAAGTTTTACTGCAAATGTGAGACTTATAAGCATGGGAGAACACAAAACAACAAATTTCTTTCACGTTATGAGCACAAATGAACATTATACAAGAAGTTGCTACATAAACCTTGTGATTCAGAGCCTCGGTCTAATGAATTCCCGAGTCCATGTCCTGATGTAAAATCAAGCTCTGTTGGAACACTGTTGAATGGGTTGTGCCTTGGCTGGAACCAGGTAAAGAGACCAAGTTAACACCTTAGCATTCCTGTAAAATTTGCCTAAATATGCAGTGTTCCGCGGGTGGTACAGTGGAATGCTAACAGGTCAACTATGCAGAAATACATTGATTATTGATGCCATATTGATTTATTTGTAATTTAATATTGACTTTCACTCCAATTTCACACAATAGAGTGACCTGCACTTAAAAGGGGTCATATCATACATTTTTATTAAGTAATTTTATTTATTTCCTTATCCTGTAGTGTTACTGAAGATATACATTTTAAATAAAATTCACGAACATTTTCCACCCTCTCTCTGGTACATATAAATAAACCATTTTTTTAATACCTCTACACCTAACACCCTGGTTGCATGTGACACAGCTGTGTTTACACACAAGCTGCAGGTCTGCTGATGAGTCCAGTGTACTGTAAATACTGTTTGCTTTGCCCCATCCTTCAATAACAGCCTCTTTGCAAAGCCTGTTATATTTTGGCAGTATCCTCCTTAGTACCACTTACTGAGCAGGTGGACCAAGTTTCTAAATACAAATAGGTGTTGTCGATGTCTAAATGTGGGCGGCCATACAGTATGTTAATGTATTTATTTGACAGCCGTAAGTCAAGAGAGTTCAGTATAGGAATCTTTTTCCCACATTTTTAATAAGTGGTCTATTTGGACTGGAGAGGATGTTTTGAAATTTTGTTTCCTTGTGATGTGACCCCTTTAAGTGTTTTTCCCAAGGATATACACTAATGGTGAAGGCAGTTGACACTGATATGGCTGTATAGTTTTATGAGCACTTACATACCTTGGATGGCGATCTCATGCCTATGTTTAGTTTTTCTTGCTGGACCTCTAACATCTCTCCATTTTCCCTAATTTTAAAACAAATAGCAATTGCATTTTTATGCTTGCATTCATAAGAAACAAAAGAAAACAAATCCAGCTGATTTGGACTAAAGTTCTACAAGACATCCTGCAATGACCAGGATCAATTAAACCTTCACAGGCAGAGCACTTTAAAAGGACAGCATGCAAACTCCTCTGTTGATCCTTGTTGAGTCTTAAAGATCTTGAAATCATAAGGTATCCACACCTGCAAAGCACACAAAGCCCCTGGGAGGGGTGGAGGTTGCATACACAGTGCAAACCAAAGGGCTCTGGCAAGCGTGAACAGTTATTACTCCTGTTGTTCTGGATAAGTTGATGAATACAGAGCTATTAGATGAGATAGACTATGTGTCTAAATATACATTGTAGGATTATGCCAACCGCACTTGAACCGTTGATGCTGATGTCTGTGCTTTTGTACATGAACATCTAGCATTACCTCTCCTTTAGCTGCTCTGAAGACTCAGTAGTTTGTGTTACATTAGGTGACGTCATGATGCCATCACTGTCCTTTCGGCTGATGCTTCTGGATCTGCCGCCCCACGACTTGGTTAAATACTCTGCATATGAGGATAGTGAGATGTTTACTGGTGTTTGATATGCTTGCTAACAAAGCATTTAATCAAGATTTCTATAAGAGTTGCCTGTGTGAACTGTAGACTTTTTGGTCTCACCAACAACTGAGGGTTTCCTTTGCTTCATTGATGCCATGATGATTTCAGAGCCATGAATTCTGTCCTGGTGTCTCTGTGACTTCACTTTGTAGAACCATTCCCCTGACATAAATTTGCGTTTGTCTTCCTCTGGGACAGCTTTCTGCAGCTGTCTGGTAGTCAAATGAGAGGTTCAACTTTGGGTGAGAAAAATCAAAGTCAACAGTTCCCAGCAACATGCATCTAACCTATAGTCTTATCTCAGCATGGTCCTTTGGACAAATACCATGCATTCCATAGGCCGCAACTTAATTTACTCCATCAGCAATCAAGGACAGAATGCACTGCACTTATCACATCTTCGGTTGTTTGCTCACAAAATTTTGAATTTGTTTTATGTAGAAATGTGTCAGGCAGTTCTTTGAGTATTAGGAAGCTCCAAACGGAGCTTTCCAAATGTTGGTACCTCGTTGCACTTTATTTCTTTAAGTTACACAGCTCTGCTGTATTAGACTCTCCTAAATCAATAACATTCTTTATACACAACACTGTCTTCAAGAACTAACTCTGTTTGCTTTGCAAATACTAAATCTCGTATAATGGGTGCTTAGGTACTATCCATATTCCTAGTAGCTGTACCCTGTTAAGTATTCAGACACTAATGATGAAGAGTTTTATCGAATGATTCCTTAAGAAAAACAGCTCAAAAGGTCGAAAATAATCATTATACTATGACTTGTTTGAGAGCTGGTTAATGTTAAAGCTGCAGTCCGTAACTTTTTTGTGTTCAAAATGTACAAAATTTATACAATAAGCGAGTACACCATGAATCCATTTTCCAAACCGTGTTTTTCGCTTGTCCTGAATCACTACGGTACACCTATAATAAGTGTTTATATTCGGACTATTTAGACTGGTTTGGGTAGGTACCGGAGTAGCCCAGTACCTGCGTGATTCGCCATAGACATAAACAGAGAGAAGTAGCTCCGGCTACAATGTTCTTCCGCAAAACGCACGCAGTTCTGTTTATTAACCGCTAGAGCGCCAAAAGTTACGGACTGCAGTTTTAAATGTTAAAAATAGCTAAAATTTCAAAACAACCTTAATAAAGACATTGTGAGCATTTGCAGTCATTCAAAATGGTTTGATTAAAATCATGTGTTTGGAATCAACCATTGGAACACATCTTCACTTTTGAAGGAGGGCAAAGTATGTTGGTCATGTGAAAAGGCCGAGACAATTATTCCACAAGGGTAGACTTTAATCCTTTTATGTAAGGTTGAGTACGGTTGAGGCTAACCACAGGGAAATCACCCAGACATGGCCAGATTCTGCATTCTTCCTTTCATGTAGAATTCCAGTCTCCATTCAAAGCATTAAACAGAACAAATCATTTGCTAGTGCAATGGCGTTCATGTGGGTGAACCCCTCACTGTTTGTCTGTGGATTAATGACCTGTTTTTTCATGTTGTATTTTGATGTATTTCATTAGATATGTGTAAAAAATGACCACATATGCAAAAGTTTTAGTCTCTTATGTTCACAAAGGCTGCATTTATTTGGTCGAAAATAAACTAAAACTGTAATACTGTAAAATATCATTACAAACTTTTCTATTGTAATATATTTTTTAAATGTAATTTAATCCTGTGATGGCAAAGCTGAATTATCAGCATCATTACTCCAGTCTTCAGTGTCACATGATTCTTCAGAAATTATTCTAATATGCTGATTTGATGCTCAAAAACAGTTGTACTGCTTTAATTTCAAACAGATTTTTTTGTTGCATTTATAAATGTCTTTGCTTTAATTTTTGATCAATTTAATGTGACCTTGATGAATAAAAGTATTAATTACTAACCCCAAACTTTTGAAGAGTAATAAGTTAAAATTTATGTGAACATAAAAGGGAAACTGTATATCAGATTTGCTAATATTTTATTCACCTTTTAGCTTTTTGCAGTTAGTCTCACATTAATTTTTCAGTCAAAATATTTTAAAGATGTGTTGTTTAAAAAATATGAATATCCTCTCAGTTGATGTGAGATCATAAAATGCCATTTATAATAATCATACAAGATAGAAAAATAATACTATTTAAAATTGATTAAAAATAGCATATCACACTGCTGCCACTGCTTGAGTTTTTGATATCAGCTACAATTTTCATTAAGAGGGGGGGGGGGGGGGGGGG